GAGTCTAAGAACTTCAACATAAATATAAACGTAGTCGCTTTGAAGTCTAAAAACTTCCAACATAATTATGAATGTAGTCGCTCTGAAGTCTTACTAAGAACTTATATAATCATAAATGTAGTTGATGTTACCTTTTAACTGAGATATTCAACATATTCGTAAACATAGTCGATCTGAAATCTTACTAAATGTAATCGACGTGAATTCTTACTGGGACTTACTTATAAAATTTCTTGAAAACTTCAAAATAATTATAAAATAAATGTATTTATTTGTCTTATTTTTTAGTGCAAACATAATCATTGTATATGTTACTTTTATTTACATCCATATGAAAGTACACATTTTATTTGTAGGGTCCCAATTTTGTTCTTTAGGAATGGCTTTTCTACGCAATCGTTGATTTGTAAAATAACTTTTATGTTACGTACATTTGTGGAACAGTTTGTTGACAGAATTGGGCCCCTCCATGTTGGTTTACAAAAATACTTTTTTTAATATCTACGTAGAATTATAGTGTACATTCGCACTTGATTCTTTAATACACAAATTAGAAAATAATGCCATTAAATACAATCATTCAGACATATCTTCAGATATGTCTTCGCGTACTTTAATTTTATTTTTGACGGACCTTCGATTCGTGTATGTAGAGTCGTTGTGTTCTTTAACTAAGCCTTTACCTTCTGATTGTTTAGATTTAGTTCTTGCGTGAAACTTTTTCACTCTTTGACCAGTTTCATCATCTCTCACTTTTGGTAGTTTCTTACCTCTATGAGATGTGTGCGCGTGAGACTCGGTCACTGAGACACCTTTGTTATCTTCTTCAATTGATATTTCTCGTTTTAAGGCACTTTTAAATGTTTGACCACGTGTCGGTTCGTGTAGAGAAAATGTTATTCTGTCATGATGTATCTTAAAATTAAATAAATATTATTAAACATAACCAAAAACTTATAAACGTCAAAAAATATTATTTTTTTATTCTTACCCGATATTCTATAGTAATATAACATTCTTCTTCGTCTTCGCAAATAAGAGAGTTGACATCAGCTGGTTTCGCCGCGTTCGCGGGACGTCGCGCTACACGTATGAATCTCCAGAGTGAACGAATCCGTGGCCCACACGAACGAACCATTTCACTCACCTAGAAATATAACAATCATCACGGTAAGCAAATTACTCGTGGAAAGAAGAATATTAAGTTAATGTTCTTGGAATTGGAAAATGTAATAAAAATATTACGAATAAAAGAAGAGGAAATAGTAAAAGGGAGAACAATGAAGTACTTTTTTATGGTTTTTTTATTTTTTAATTATTATCAGTGAATAAAGCTTTATTCATGATAACTGTCGCCCGCGACTCCGTCCGCGCGGACTTAAAGAAAAACTATATTGTGAATAACTATGTATTCTTCCAGGCTACGTTCTGCATTTATGTACCAAATTTCAGCAAGATTTATGCAGCGGATCTGGAGTTACCTTCTAAGAGACACCCATCCATCCAAACATTAACATTTATAATATTATGTAATCGTTTCTAGCTCATATGCACAGCTTACCTTCATTTGTTCCCCGCCATCACAAATGCCATTGCCATGCGGCTCTATACCAAAACTATTGATGCAAGCTCGATCTTCTGGTAATAAAGAATCGATTTCAAATGCGCATTTAGGTACACCATCAGTCCGTTCCTGTAAATATAGAAACACATAAACCCCACAGATTTGTGTCCCACAGATTAAAACATCTGAATATATAATTTGTTAGTTATGTTCTGCAAACAAAAACATTTTAACTCACCCATCCTACTTCATCGCAGTGTTTCGGTTCATCGTAGCAAATATAATAGTTGGTCGCTTTCGACCCGTCTGTTCTTTTCTCAGTCGACCAAGTGTACCAATTTTCACCGAATTTAAACATACTATTTATATGAGATTGACGATAGATTAAGGGAAAGATCATTTCATTGGGATGCATCTGTCTTGATGATTTTTCTGTCGTAGTAATATCGTCATATTCTTGCTTCTCTTCTAAACGATGGCTTTTGATAAATGGTAAAAGTGTTCCTTCCCTTCTTTTTGTGCCCCACGATTCTGTATGTGATTCCTCTTCTTCCACTCGTGAGTCTTCCTGATCTGAATGTAGGACAACTTTGACTTTGACAGAGATGACGCACTGCAGCAGGCATGCGAAGGTTACCACGTAACGTCTCATTTTCGAGAATAGGTCTGATTTGATACATAAAAATCTAGTTCGCCTAAGGTACATGTTTAAAACCATAAAGGATGTTGATACCTTTAGCTATCGATAAGAACAATGTTTGTAAATATACGACGCTTTCAAAACTCTTAGCAATAAAATTATACTCCATTTACGGTTCTGTATTACTAAAAAGTAGTCTTTTTTATAAAGTACCTGAGATCAATTGTTTTCTTATACTCCTATGCTTTAGTACACAACAGTATGTTTTCACTGTCGATATAGTGATATAAAAACATTTCGTAATTAAACATTATTTTAAAAAGATATTTCGGCATTTCGTAAATGCATCATTCAAGATAAATTTTGATAGCAATTTATTACAGACAAACTGTTCTCCGCGACTCTGTCCGTGCGGAATTAAAAAAAAACAGTAGCCTATGTGTTTCTCCAGACTGTTCTACTTCTATGCCAAATTTCAGCGAGCCCCTTTAAGCTGTCCCTGTGTAAGAAACATCCATCTATCCAAATATTCGCATTTCTAATATTAGTAAGATTGCAACTTGGTAATGAAAAGCGGTAAGTCTTAGTAGCCACCGGTAGGTTGTGATGAATTTGTTGCAATACATAAAAAACCTTTATTTATTGTGTTACCAGGATTACGGGTTAAATTAAAAAAGTATCGCTTGTTTAAATCAGTGTTTCTTGGAACTCTTTCTTTCTATATTTGCTGTAAAGGATTATATACAAAATAAATACGGTACAATCAGATTATTGCTTTTATTTTGGGTACAAAGATGTAGAGTATAAAATAAAAATACTGCATTTGGTATCAACCTTTTTTTTATCGTAAAACTTTGATTATGTAAATTAAGCATTTCGACAAATACACATTTTAAATTCTATAAAATAAACATTAAAGCATAAGAAGTATTTCTAAGACTAATTATTATTTCTTTATCTAAATAGAAATTGTATAATCGTATAGTACAAATAAAAAGCAAGTGAAGTTTGGACCATTGTTAGGAATTAAAGTTTTCCATATAGTGCTGAACGTTTTATATCTGTTATAAGAGTTCCTATTTACAAGATTCATAATTTCGTTTCTAAAGTGATATTTCGTTCACAGCATTGGGGATAAGAATAGCATCACTAAGGCAGAAAGGGTGTTTTATTGTACACGATTATTGTTAGTGCCCTAAGGAATTAACTAAGATGAGAAACCTCTTCTCAGTCATCACAGTTTCTCGTCTTTAAGCTAGACAGTATATAGAGAAAAAATAAGGCCAGATTCATAAAGATTGATCGCTTAACTATAAATTACAGCTACTACTTACAATATAATTATAATCCTATGTGTTTATTTAAACTTATAGCATTGGTTCCGTGTGTTTTTACTAATCAATCAAACATTTTCTACATCGCAACACTCATAAAAGTTGCTTAAATCTATGCTTAGTGCTAATTTTATTAGGCTCACAATTTTAAGCCGTTCGTAAGATTCGGTCCACGAGAAAGAGAGTAAGAGCTAGTGATATATTCTAATAAGCTTTGTGCCGGTCACCTATAGTACCGGCTTTACTAAACACCGCGCCACACAGAGAGGTACGTATCCATCAGCGCGTAGTATTGTCCAAATATCAATTCTAACCTCGAAATAGCACTACAAGGAAAATAGACAAATCTTCAACTATCCTATAATAATATTTATTTAATTATATATATATATTTTAAATAATTCATTCGATTCGACAGTAAGTATCACTCGTAAACTTACTTCTAACCCATTCAATACTTCGATGAAATGATATTATATATGAAAATAAATTATAATGAAATATTAAATATTATGTATTGGTAACTTGATCTGATAAATATGTTACTAAAGATTGCAAGAAAAACTATATATATAGACCCTTTTCCAAAACAGTTTTATTTTATACAATTTTAGACATCGCTTAAAATATTTCCATCATTCAGAGATAAGGAATGTTTGAGTAAATTAGCTATTTTACGATACTTATATTAATTAATTCAGTTTTAATTTATATTATGAAAAGGTCTATATATATTTAAATCTTTACTTACATAGGATACAGGAAGAACTGATGATTTATGTATTTATGTTTTCAATATCAATGCTTTATCATGAACAATATTATCGCAAACATTTCACACAACATCGGCAACACACAGAACCCTGTGCAGCCCCTAAGCTCAGCATTTCATTGTCATACATTCATTTACAGCTATTTATAATATAAACAAGTTATAATTATAAACCCGACTGACTTTACTCCAAATATAGTGCGATAAAATTATCTGGAGGTTTAGACAAAGTCCATTCGCTCCGAAGCGATTCCACGCGCGACAATCACGTGACTTAACGAAAGTTATTGTCAGTTCGTTGGTAATGGAATCGCTTCGAAGCGAATGTACTTTATCTACACAGTTTGCATATTATTTCACATAACCTGCTAAATATGTTCATGAGAACGTTTTCGTAACGTTATCGACGAAATTTGTGTTAAAATTTGAGCAGCGCCCCTACCGGGCGTAAAGTACACCAAGAAATCTCATCGCTTATTTTAACAAATTTCGTAGATGACGTTACGAAGGCGCATGTCGCAAATATACGTATAGGCTCTCTGTCAGAAAAAATGAACATATATCTGAACTGGTGAGAAGCGCTGCTATCGCGGTTTCTTCTGTATATAAAACCTAGTTGGACTTAAAAAAATGACAGTAAAAAAAATAATATTACAGCTACAGTACATACAGGGTCTTGTAATATTTTTGACATTGACAGGGGGGCGCTAGTGAGCTGTTATCTTTAACTTATTCCCACGTGTTCAAACAGCCTGGTCGGTTACAGAAAATAACACACAAGACAAAATAATCCGATAAAGACCTTATGACAGATTTTGTTGGCATTCCTAATAAATAAATAAAAAAAGAAAAAAAAAATTTTTGGTACTGTTAGTCTAATCCAGAAAACTTTGTCGCACTATGGGGTGATACTAATCAAATGATATCTTACATTTTATTCAAGCAATTTAACCTAAAACACAATTAAATAAATACATATATACAAGCGAAACCCATAAATCAGTCGGGAAAAAAGAGCCTCATAAGTAAATCGAATTTCAATAATTATACAACATAGAAATAAAAGGTTTTCAAAGATGGCAGCAGTCGCGTTCATCACATCTACGCATATAAAATAGATATAAATCAGTCTGTAACGGAGATCAAGTGGCCACAGAAAAGGGCTAAATATATAAAATTACCTCTTATATAAGACGAACAACCTTACGGAGGCAACTTTTATTTATGTACACTATGCCGATAAGGGAAGGGGGATTTGTATATCAAGAGGGGGATTCATTACTTTTCCTATATATTTACTTAGCTTCTATTACAAAGACGATGATAATTCATAAGTTTTATGTCACCGAAATTTTAATTAAGAAAAAAATCAACTTTGAACTAGAATTATGACATTTTATACTAATTTTAAGAAGTCAACTTAAAAAGTTTTTATAGATGCGAATTATCTATATATTGTACAATTTAAAATAAACCATTTGCCTCTATTTATAAGATATAAAATGGCTCGCTGAATACCTATTCGGTAACAGCGATTACTAAATAAGATTTTAAAAATTATTAACTACATAACATGTTTGTTACTTAAAATCCTATTTACTATTGAATAGAGATAAAATTTAAATTGACTAATTCCATATACTTATATGAATCTAGCATATAATACTGCGACATAATTTTCAATCAGATTTCTGAGTATTTAAGGATACTTCGTATTGTCGAATTATGAAGTTTTATTATACTACATTAAATATTTTACTATTTCATACTTATTGTATACTAGCGGTTGCCCGCGACTCCTTCCACGCGGTATTAAAAAAAAATTTTTTTTGCTTGTGTTCTTCCACGCGGTATTAAAAAAAATTTTTTTTTTGCTTGTGCTCTTCCACGCGGTATTAAAAAATATTTTTTTTTTGCTTATGTTCTTCCACGCGGTATTAAAAAAAAATTTTTTTGCTTGTTATCTTCCACGCGGTATTAAAAAAAAATTTTTTTTTTGCATGTGTTCTTACACGCAGTATTAAATTTTTTTTTTGCTTATGTGTTCTTCCAGACTATGTTCCATATTAATGTCAAATTTCATTCTGGAGTTACCTTCAAACATCCATCCATACATCCAAATATTGGTATTTATATTAGTAAGATATTTTAAGTACATTTGTTGCATCCGTTAGGTTGATGTCTTTGATTTCAGATGCATTTATTTATCATTAAATTATTAATTCCGGGGCAAATTATTAACATTAGTACAACGTTACTTCACTTCAAATATTTTTATATTAGATATGACTTTATAGACTTCAAGGATAAAAGTACTAAAACAATTTTTTTTAATATTTTATCATTAAATTTGGATAAATATAGATAACATTTTGATATGTAACATTAGGGATTATATAAAAATATAATAATTATTAAAAATTGTCACATTATAAAACATATGGTTGTTCAAATTTACTTAGGGAATATATCACTTATTGCTTTCAACTTATCAGGACTAGGTTTTTTTTGTGAGATTGAAGAATAATTTTATTAAAATAGATTTCATTTTAATATTATATAAATTATATTTTGTCAATAAAGTCACATCTTATTGATTTAAATATGAAAACTTTTCATTTTAGACTCCACATTCATAAGTTCAATTAAAAAAAAAACACTATTTTTTTACATACAAATTAACCAAAAACGATAATAATTATTCATTTTAATCCAGACATTGTATACAAAATTAGCAAGAATAAAAAAATAAAAAAAATTAAATTGGTATTTTCACCTAAATGAGATATAATGAGTAAATAAAAATATCATTAAATGTGAAGTCTTAATGAAGTGTTCATATTTAAAATCTAGTTACTTGATAATCTTGTGTGAAGCATGTGCAACGTTGACTTTTGCCCCGGGCTGTTTGTTAATAACCGGTACTTGGGAAAAGCGGGCAAGCCGCGTGATCCCGTCACG